CGTTCAACAGGGAACGTATTGATCGGTTGTGTTCTTCACGAAAAGATAACAAAAAGAATGTAATAGAACAAATATACACTCATACCTCGTATTTTTCTCTTTACATAGGTTTCTTATTTTATTTATTGCACAGATAATTAGCATCTCAAAAAGTTGCATATTCTTAGACAGGTTTGTTATCTATGTCAGAAACTTAAGACTTTCTAGTATCACGTATTATCTTTAGTAAGAATATTTTGTACATCGTATAATCAGTAGATAGACACAGCCACGAGATACACATGCTTGGTATCGAACGAAATTGATAAGAAGAGCACACCTTTCTTTTCCATCCACGTTTCTCTTTCTCGACGAATCTACACTGTGATACAAACAAGCAAATATTGTCTTCATAATGGTTGGTAATGATGTCTTCTTATTTATTACAGCTGTGTGTTTTTTATTCAATTTCTCCATCATTGTTAATGCCAACTCAAATGCATATCAACAAGTTCAAAGTAGAACATGGAATCAAGCCATCTCTATGGCCAAATCATTTGTGGCACAATTAACATTAGAAGAAAAATGTAATATGACATCTGGTGTTAAAGGCTCATGTGCTGGCAACGTTCTATCTGTACCGCGTCTCAATTTTACTGGTCTTTGTTTTCAAGATGCACCATCTGGTGTTGGTGATGGTGTTCAACGTTCAACTGCTTTTCCGCCTGGTGTACAAATTGCAGCTACTTGGGATCGAGATTTGTTCTTTAAACGTGCTGTTGCAATAGGAGAAGAATTTCGTGGTAAAGGTGTTCATTTTGCTTTGGGTCCAATGATGAATATCGATCGAAATGCTCGACATGGTCGAAATTGGGAAGGATTTGGTGCTGATCCATATTTATCAGGAGAAAATGCATTTTATTATGTTCAAGGTCTTCAAGATCAAGGTGTTGTTGCAACTGCCAAACACTACATATGTAATGAACAGGAAACTCATCGTTCCGCAGTTGCGTCACGTAATCAATTTCGCCCAGATATGATTAATTATGTGGCCTATTCAGCCAATCTTGATGATAAA